ACCTAGACCCACCATATTGTGTCTGAACCTAGACCCACCAAATTGTATCAGAACCATGACCCACCATATTGTCTAGATCTACTATAGTTTTGCTGACCTTTGAAACCCACCATAGTGCCCCTAAAGAAATCATTCTGTCTCTGCTGTATTAATGCATCAGATTCAGGTCTATGTGCCTTTCCAGCTGATGCCTAATATTCCTGGTCAAATGTCCATTACATACCTGTACAGACAGCCTGTATGGTCAGCAGTTCTGACCTCAGCTGTAAGGTCAGTAGTACAGATCATTTATCAGCCTTGTCTACTGAACATTGTAAATAATTTTAAACATCAGGAAATAATTGCTTGTCTGTCTGCACAGATATTTTCTGGACATAATCATAAATGAATCTAATTTGACCCAAAAAAACTCACAAAGAATGAGTTTTAGAGTCACGGACATGTTATGATGTAGACTAACATAGCTGACATTATAACAATACTGGCCATCTGTACACCAACGGTACTCAACATATGTTATTTGTACCCAAGGACCTCATCAACAGTCAATTATTGTCTGACACACTTGTTCAACCCATTTGATAACTCCCAGTCTGGTAATCTCAAGGAATACTCATTAAAATTAATTAATAAAAAAATTTCTTTTCAAAACAATAGGAATAAACCCAGAAATTTTAAAGTGTTCACTGAACTGAAAAGATTTGAAACAAAATTATGGTATTTCGTTTTTGAATACTGAATGAAATGTAAACCTGACTCTTTGTATATTTTTAGGCTGTAGATCCACTGATCTTGAAAATGATATGTCATTCATGGTGACAATTATTAGGCAGGCATTGAAATAACCCTAAAGAATCTCGCCCTTCTTGTTTACTTAAAGCTACTTGAACCCAGGTTTAATGGGTGAATCTATTTTTCATTATTCAGTTTTTATCATTTAACCCTGTCTAGCATGGATCATAATGTGCTTTCTCCACTCATCATGGTAGACTGTACTGCCAAGTGTGGCCGATACCATTGAGATGTCGACCTTACTCAACTTTCACTTGCACCGACTGACGAGTGGATTACTGGAGCAGTGGATTTTATCAATACGTAACTTTATCACAATCCATTGTACAGTAAAATACAGCTCCATCCCATCCTATAAAACTTCTGTTCTAACATAATTTTTCTATGGTTCAATTTGTCATGATTTTACCAAAATCGGGGATAAAATTGATGTCAATTAGACTGAAGTCATGAAATAAACTGATAAGTTATCATTTTTTCGCAATTTTATTCTATCCTCACAAACAGAACCTGTCAAAACTAACTGCATTTATATACCACTAACACGACACAAAACAGATTCTAACGATCAAAAACAAAGGAATTTACACACTTTACCGTCACTAACACCAATCTGATACCAAATGTTTTCAGCATTGTTTTGTTTAGGTCTCCCCTCAAAGAAATAACAACCCCATACCTCACTTGCCCCTACTGTAACACTGCACCCTATTCCTACACCGTAATCGCTCTCTGTCCAAACACAACACCAAACCTTGCCAATACTGTGCAGATCCTTCTGAATGCCATGCACCTCTGAAATTCCAGCATTCATACCCCAACCCCCCACCAGTATTTTTTATCTGTGGGTGATGACTGACTAATTGAGTTTACAATATGTTTCCATGATATCTGATGTTCTAAAAAACATTAAAAGGATTCAGATGAAGATAGAGAAACTAAGAAACATTTGATTATATTTCTTTTTGTGAAAAAAATAACGAGTTTGGAATGTTTTTTGTTTTGTCAAGCTGTAGATGATTAAACAACCCAGGAGAAAAGAATCAACTTCACATCACCGTGTGATGATGTTTATAAACATTCCAGTGAAAAGCTGACAGAGAAGTAGGTGATAACGCCCTCTGAGAATAGTAATTATCTTTCATTTGTCTATTTAGTCACACTAAACACAGTATCTAAGTAGTACTGGTCAAAGCTTTGATAATGGACAAAACCAAAACAAACATTAGAAACTTTCTCAGGCTAGAGGGAAAGATTCCCTATGTCAACACTCACTGATAACCTGCAAAGATATTTTCTAAATAATGGTCATAAATGTTTCAGATGTTAAAGAAAAGATCAGATTTTCTTCTAACCTTATCTCTGGCTCAAAGCAATGAATGGAGACCTTAAAAGAATCCTAATTTAATCATTCTGATCAAATCTGACTTTTTCATTATGACACAGAGAATGCTGAAACCATTCTTTTCTACCTTCAAAGAAGCAGCGTTTGTGTCAGTGCTCCTACTTATCCAATCTCGACTGTTTAAATATCCTATATCATTGAGATATATAGTACGAACACAAAGAGCTGTGCTAAACAAACAGTCTGTATCATTATATTACCCATTTGTATCACACAATATAACACTATACTTAAAACATTTATATGATCTTGGACTCCATCAGAAACACAATGTAAAACATCCTATGTCATTATGTATGAATTAATTGGAAGAATTGAATCTCCACAGAACGGACCATTTGTTTACTTTCAGGAAAAGTAAAGAGTTTTGCATGAGATCAACGAGTGTCTGACCTTTATTGAATATGTACATGGAGTATAGAGGGATGTGTTGACACCAAACTGTTAGCTCTGTTCCGATGTAATTGTGAAATACTTAAAAAAAATCTATACAAAACATCCCCAAAAAATTTAGCCCTTCAGGAAAAAATGCCAACTTGTTTTGTGCTTGTATTCAATAAATCTATTCTGCAATAACAGGAGAGAATTTGGAATGCTTGTATGTAACATTGGCAATGTTTAATTTGGAATGCTTGTATGTAACATTGGCAATGTTTCACATAAGAATTACAGAACGTTTATCATAGACATTTTATACGCTCTACAAATAAATATTTCTTGTCTGAAAGTATTTATTGTTTTCACAACTTCAAAACCACGAGAATAAAATGCAACAAATAAAATTTCAGATGAATTATCAGCGTATTGTTGAGCTATCTATGAATATTTTTTACTCTGAAATAATGCCTTTGATAAAATCATGAAGGAAAGTGATATAAAATAATTAATTTTTGTGAGGGATATATTTTCATGGGTACTCTATATCTACATATCCATACCCACAAAATGATACAGGGATGCGGACATAGATTATAGCACCTGTACTACTGGATTCTGTGAGATTAAATCACAAAGTCCTAACCAAAAAAGGATATTTTGGGGAAACAGCAAAATTGGAATTCCACAAAAATATCTGATTTTACAGTACTCACAAAGATTTTATGTCAAACAAGGTATGTATGATTCTGATAATTGATATAAACTAAACACCAGAGATACAATCATCAAGAATTAAGGGTTTGATATGTATATAAACATCATGATCTTTTCATTTTGTATCTTTGTCTTCCATTATAGGTTACAAATTATCTTTATAAATAATATCCAAGCCCAAATCTTTCATAAAACAATATAAATAAATAATAGGATGGTTTAGTACATTTCCTGTACACTGATCCAAACTTCCTGCCAGTCATTGAACCAGACATCTCATCTATGACTTCTAGCTGACCTCTAGATACTACGTACTAGGAACCAGGAACTACAGACACTGAATTCTCAAAAGTTCACAACATCGAAGTAAAAAACGCTGTGAGGACACGAGCTTATGTACTAGGATGCAGGTACCAGGAGAAAATTTTAACTTAATTTTCTTTCTAGACGTACCAATCATTTTTGAATTTGGAACATGTGAACACAATTATGTAAGGTGCACACTGCATGATTCATGACTGGTAATGTAATACTCTGGTAACATAGTGAAGATTTTCAACATTTGAACCTTTTTTAGATAAAGATTCTGATGAAATGTTACAAGTCGTCTCGCAAAGCTTAATTATTTGGGAGCAAAAACTAGAAATTGGGTGCAGAAATATCAGTTTTTTAAAATTAGGTTGACAGAAATGCCACAGGTGTGACTAAATCTACTGTGTCATCTGTCAGTGCTGTTGGTAAGCTATGTTCAGTGTGTTATCCAGAATCTCTCTTAATAAACAGGTGTATTTGGTTGTTAACTGGTTCACAGGTAATATGTTTTTTGGCCTTTGTTCCTGTTACTATCATTTCAGACTGAAATATGATGGTAAAATGGTGACTATAGCTTCAAGAGGTTTTGTTATCACTAGATCTTGGATATTTGAAAAACATTTGTTTACATCGTCTTCTGTTTGTAAGGGAAAATACTCAATGTAAAATTATTTTTATTGAAATGGAGTTTCCTCCTCTGGGAATGCTTTCTGAATTTGTACTACAATCTACATGTAAGGAACTGATTCACTTGATGGATTTTTTGTAACCTTAGATAAAAAATGATAACAAATCTGTACCTGAGCTAAGATTGTATAAATTCCACAAACCAGGCTTGTTAAACGTTTACATTCACAAAAGAAACAGTGTAATATAGACATTTTAAACAAATTTCAAGATGGAATAATTAAAAATTATGATGATGATGATGATGATGATAAGGTTTAAATACAACTGATGCTGAAAGGTGTAATAGAAAAAAAACAGTGGAAATATTATCTAAATAGCAATGTGCTAAGATATGAATGCACTAATTGCTGTTTCTGTGCATGTTTTTATATAACAATCATTCTGTATGTACTGATAATCCAAAAACGTATCGTGGGCTTGTTTTAAATCAACTTTACAAGAAAAACCCTGGAGATAAAACTGCTAACAAAGTACAGCTCTTTTAACAAATTGAGGCATTGGAGTGCAGAACTTCAAGCACCATTTAATTCCAATTAAATGGAAATTGTTTTACGCTATTCAATTGTTTGTTTGGTGGTCCTGTTGTATAAACAAAATTCTGTCATTTGAGATGCTTCATGCTGGTCGAGTAATTTAATTCCACAATAGTGGTTTGAAATCTAGACACAGACAGAACTGACTAGAAATGTAATTTATGTGAGAGACTTACTGTAGAGCTAGGTGTGTGGGGCGAGGTGCCATCGTAATCCACACATCTCTGATCTGAAAGCGATCATCCGGACATGACACTTCTAGATTGACCTACAACAACAAAAAGATATTGACAGTTTAAAAGATTCATGATTCTCGGGGGAATGCAGGAAATTAATGTTCTGTGACGAATAATGTTGGAACTGACACAATATATTGTGGAATGTGAAAATAAGCCTTTTTAATGATGGTTTTAGTCTGTAGAATAGAAGTTCAAAAATCAATGACTTATTCATTTATCAGTGATGGATGTTTACATTTCATTGTAGTGCATTCATGGTATAATGAGTGTCACTGATCGTCATTTATCATCGTAATAATACACCCACAATATAATGCACTAAACTACAAATAATTCTGAGATAATCAATAACAAACAAACAGAGAAACAATTTTTATGTAAATTATTAATGGATGACTGTAAAACTTTTCATTATTAATAAACACAGGCAGCGCTTAAATGGTCATGCAATGTTTGTAACAGGTGATTACATTTTCTAAACTATAATGCAAACATTTTTTCTGGTTTAATATCCAGGACATTGAAATTCAGATTTTTTAGAGCCTTCAATGTGATCAGGGTGAAACATCTAATACAAATTATGATTTTCTGAAAACAACTTGTTTGATTGGTCTGGATTTCTAACCAATCAAGACCTACAAATGCAGATACAACACACAGCTTGACAATTTGTCAGCATTATTTTTTTTTCAATTCAATCTTTAATCAGAGCAGTATTGAGAACAAGAAAAAAAATCAATTATTTGACGTCACAGTATAATTATCGACCCATCTTCCACTTACAAGCATCACCTATCTATCAATGTGGTATTTCAAGGCTGAGGTCTTAACAGACAACATGTTGTTATACAACTTCAATCACTTTAACACATTATCAATTGCAACAGTAATCAGAAAAAAATGGATGTGTCATCTCATATCATTACACTTCGAGCAGTTTCTCCAAGAATATTGGTAACCATGGTAACTTCCCAAATGTGTCACTCCACATGTATAATTGTCTCTGATACAGACATATAGCTTTAATTATATATGACCATGGCACCAGGTTCGTGAAAATGAAAAATGCATCTTCATAATTATTTTCAGCATCCCAAATCCTAACTTCCTTGGCAATAAGATTTCAGACTTGCTTGGCAGCAGGATTCCAGATCCCTTTGGCCACCAGAGCCCAAATTAGTCTAAGGAGTTCACACCCCCTTGGCCTAATAGTCCTGACTTTTTTGGTCATAGAAATCCTGGCCTTTTAGGCCTTAAGAGTCCACACCCTTAGGACATAGGAGTCCACACCCCCTTGGTCATAATAAAGGAGTCCAAACCACTTACTAACCAAGGCAGACTGACATGCTTTTTGTTTTAAGTAGGAGTGACCCTGGATATGCCATTATACAGCCATCCATAGTGTAAAGTAGTTCAGCTCTATGTGGAACTCCCAGAGGCTAACACCGAAACTTCATCAGAAAATGTTATGTCTTCGACAACTCCAGAAATAGCCTAATTGAATACAACAACTGTGCGTTCTGCTTTAAGAAAACAAAAGCAGACACTCACCTTGTTGGCCATTTTTTCCCCTGACACAAATTCAAATTAGTGCTTGACAAGTCTTAGCTATGTAGAAACATTGGACATCAAAGTCTCCTTGTATTACTGAATACTGACTTTAACACAACAAAAGCTGTCAACACGCATAAAATCAATATCAGCACACGCTTAGGACAGGCCAATGTCTTCATATGTTTTATGTGTTCATCACTATCCGTGTTTCAACTCAGTAAAGATGATCAACTTAACAAACCATACAGAAAGGACTGGCTTTTGTCATTATATGTTTTATGTTCATCACGATCAGATTTAAAAATTCTCAAATTTAAAGATACCATAGCTATCTAACATAAACCCTATGTTATTGTTGATGGGCCACACGAATCAATCGCAACCATCCATTTGTTCATATTGTTGTTCTCAAACTGTAAATGACCCTTTACGTGAAGTAAGAAGTAACATGCAAACCCCATAGTTTACATATGTAACTTCTTATCCCACAATGAGCCCTGAAACATAACTTCTGAATCTTTAAATTTTTCGGGATTACAACAATTGTGAAGTAAACAATATACATGATATCAATCAGTATTGTTGGGCCCCGATTGAAGCATCCAAGGTGTCTTGCTATAGCAGGAAAGTTGAGTGAAGTAAGACCAACATGTCAGATGTATCCCAACCATACCTTTCTGTGTGCATTACCAGAGTACCATCTCTCTACATATGTATCAAGTCTTAAAATTGACAAATTGGGTGATACACATATAGTGTAATAAAATGTAATTTGTCTGGCCTTTTTGAGAAGTAAGAATTTAAAGGAAATATTGTCTTGTACTTTGGTCTGTGAACAGCTCATTATATAATAATAAACATTTCCCATTAATTCTTAATACTAGTGTTAACAAATGGACCCGTTAAAAATTAACACCTCTTTTGTGTGATAATTTCATAACAGGAATTTGAGACTTTACAAGCTAAATGAAATTAATACTAGACAAAAGAATGATGTTCCATAATATAATATAGTACCCTTATTTCTACTGCATCACTGTCTCATTTACTCCAGTTACACCTAATGACCTTTCACGGCCAATTAGTTTTATGTCAACATTTCTGAAACTTAAAACATTTTAGAAGGACAGCACAGCTGCTTAATTCATTATTTAGCTCTTCACTATCTAATTCTATACTTTTACAAAAAAAGGTGTTATTCACTTATGTGTCTTTTGTACAGTCATAGAGCCAATGGCAGTAAGACTTGATGTTATACGTGTACTCAGGACTACAATAATAAGACATTGACACATCATACTCAGTGTTCAGTGAAATGTACTCATCACAGATAATTATATCCTAACCAGGACTTTAATATACAACAAACTAACAACATAGTCAATAATCAATTACAAATCTGACACGTGAGGCTGTAAGTCATGCATGACAAGAACAAAGACATGTAGATTACATAGGTATGGTCCAGTGATTCTCACGATAGCCAATCAACCTTAAGGGTGCTGTGAGATTACTAGAGAGTTCAGATCTAGTGCGGAGGCCTCATGAATTTTTAATGAGCTAGATTAAAGCTATCGCGGCAAAGTAAAATCTTCTGCCACTGGACCTAAAAACATGACACATGCGCTGCAGTAGCTACTGGTCAGAGCATCTCACAAATCAGCCGTAGGTGTCAACACTGACACAGGTTCAACGGGGCTAGATGGATGTCGGAGGATGATTGAATTAGTAGCCCGGCCATATACCACCGGACTCTCAACATGACTCTAACCTGCAGGACAGGATGATTAATCCAATCAACAAGACATGCAATGCTTGATAAGGTCATATTATGATGAGGACCATCAGGCATTTATATTCTATAGCACTCACTAGAGGTCTGAAATATGCAAATCAGTATCAGATGATTACCATTATCCATATTGCACCAAATCCATTAGAAATATTAAAGGTGATGGAAATTACCAAGGAAAGCTTTGAAGGTGGTGAAGGTTATCACCCTTAAAGCACATCACCTTATTATTGATTGTCTCAGATATGATGCAAAATTCACATCAAATTTTGATTTGACACAAACCGAAACTTCTTCAAGCACAGTTCAAAGAGACTTCAACGAATGTCAGTATTACATGGTTTTCAGGTTAATGTGGAACTGAACTGTACATGTTTTTACTGTAAATTACATGCACCTTATTCACAATTTTCCAATGAAATTCCATCGTTAAAGTTGGATACAACTAAGAGGACTATTCCAGAGACAAAAATATGTCAAGCATAATTCAATTTTGATGAGAAAAATCTGTAGTCATAAGACAGAGACATCCCACAGTGTTTCCTCATTGTTTCCAGTTAATGAAGACAGTAGCTCAGCTTGTTCTCTTAAACTTTGGATTAAAATTTGGGATCCAGTGGAGAAAGCATTACACATCTTTAACTCTGTCTGATCACTTCAAAGGCAGAAAAAGCTACATAAAATGCTAACTCTGTTATCAGTCTCTAACAACAACTGAATATCTACAGAATCACATGTTCTGTAGTCCAATACATTGTGTATTCAACAGAAATCGTAAGGTCACAGGTATGTTAGGTTCATGCTGTAAAGTAAAAGGTCAAGGTTGTATTCCTGTGTTATATAAAAAGGTCAAGATTATAGTCATTCGATCAGAAATCTAGGTTAAGGTCAGAGTAATCAAAACATTTGGTGAAGGTCATGATCGAACATTTAGCAACAGGTCAAGGTCAAAGCCATATATTTAGAAAACAGGTCAAGGTCACAGTTATATATTCAGTAATTTAGATCAACGTTAATCACCTGTTTAGTAATAGCTAGGCCAAGGATCAATCATTCACTTTAGTAAGTATGTCAAGGTCATAGTTATCCACTTATAGGGCATCAAGATTAAAGATCGATTTGAGTGATATCTGATAGAACAAAGGCAACAATACACAGAACAGAGTGATAACTATTCTATACATGTATAAAAATAGTCATCAGATTTACGAGATATCAAACACAATGATACATCTATAACAGCGTAGGATTTCTAACACATTATCCTTCCTCTATCTACCAGTATTATCTCCGCATCCTCGATCTAAATCAAATTCCACTCCAGAAATAAGTACCAGTACAGCAATCAAAGGATTACTTGTATCAATTAAATCTTTTACAAAGCCATCACAATATCAATATGTTTCAAACATTCTAAGGACTAATGCTGCCAATCCTCATCGTAAAAATGTTTGCTTTTAGCAAAGATAAATGCTGTATAGCAGGATGACCTGACAAATGCTTGCTTGTGCCAGGCAGCTCTACCATTCCTTAAACAATAGATGACCATTCACCAAGGTAAACAGATCTTCTGACAAATCGCTTCAACTAGAGTTCTAACATCAAAGGGTAGTAGTTGATATGATAGATATAGAGACAAGACAAATTTGTTTATCATCCCATCTGAAATATTCAAGCAATGCA